TATTATTATTATTATTATTATTATTATTATTATTATTATTATTATTATTATTATTATTATTATTATTATTATTTTTCCTTTTAAGTATGAAATGTCATATATGCCTTTGTTTAGTTTTCATTAAATTTTGCTAAATTTTAATTTTCAAGAAATGAGTGAGGTATTATTTGTATAGATCCTATGGAATACGTCATTAAATTTAAATTTATTATAGACTTTGATAATTGAAAGCATAATTTTAAGGTAAAAAGTTAAATATCAAACAAGGACTATGTTTCATATGTTGACTATTTAAAATATATTAAAAATCAATAAGATGCACGCATTAAAATAATAATACCATGCTAAACTAATTAAATCGATTTAACAGATTTTATGGTTTGAATATAAGTACCTGTGTTAATGTGATTTTTTTGGAGAGAGTGTGATGGAAGAATGGGGAAAAGCTAGGTTGATATTTGAAAAATGATTTATTTATTTATTTATTTATTTATTTATTATTATTATTATTATTATTATTATTATTATTATTATTATTATTATTATTATTTGGGCGATTGTGATTGAAAATATGTGTGAAAAAGTGATTTTCTTTATAATGAAAGTCAACTTTAGTGATTCGATAGATTCGATCTTTTACCGAGTGAAAGGACTTTCATTCCATGAATAAACCTATTTTACATATAAGGGGATGATATTCCTTGATGTCTTCTCGACTAAAGTACTCTCTAAGATTTTACCATCCTTGCTCACTAAAGCTTTGATTGCCAACTTCTTATGTTATGTCAATAACTTAAGCTTCAACTTTTAACACCCATATAAAAGAAATGTATGGTATTCACAACCAAAGGAAAATTACCTTTTTCGTTTTTTCACCTTATTTTTATCCATGTATTCTTCAATTTTTCCTTAACTTTTTTCTACTATTTAAATATATATTTTCTAAAAGAGTAATGCTATTTATCCTTATTGAGATTGCAATCCCAATCTAGATGACGTTAATGTGACATTAAATAATAAGTAGAATTAAATAAGTCATTTAATTTAATATTTTATTTAGCCTATCATGTAGCCCATCTAAATTAAGGTTGTAGTCCCAGTAAAACTATGTAACATTATTTTTTGGAAAAAATTCAAAACTAAGGTTATGTACAAATCAATTCTCAGGTTCAAAGTTTAAAAATGCAAAACTCAGGTATTCATTCATTAATTAAAATATTTTATTAATTAAATGTGTTAAGATCACAATTTTGCAATTAATAGTCATAGATGCATATGTATAGGTCACAATGTTACAGTTTTGCAATTAATGGTCACATATGTATAGGTATTAGTCACATATTATTTATCGGTCACAAATCAAAAAACTTATAAGTCATAGCTTATTTGTCAATCACAGATTAATGGTCACAGAGGTATAGGTATAGGTCACAATGTCACAAATGGTCACATACGTATGGATATTGGTCACGAATTATTTATTGGTCACAAATCAAAAAACTTACAGGTCACAATTTATTTGTCGATCATAGATTTTCAAATTAATTAGCCACCTATTATCGAATTTTTAGGTCACAATTAAATCGTAGGTCATATATAACTAAATAAAATGGTCACATATATCAAATGGTGGGTCACATACCATCATTACCAACACTATCGCATCGCCACTGCCACAAAAATCACTTGCGACCACCTCACCCCATTATCACCACCACCATCGCCATCAACAATATCAACACCACCCACATCAACACTGCCAACACGAGCACCTCCACCATTGCTAGAAACCACCACGACCACCACCACCAAATACACCAACAATACCTAACCAGCCACCTCACCAATAACCAACATCTCCGCCACGACCACCGTCTGAAACCATCACAGCCACAAGGACCATAACCACACCCAGAAACCACCACCAAAAACATACAACAATACACCACTCCACAACCTCACCAAAACCACACACATCAGCAACACAGGCAGAAGCAGCAAAAAGGGTTAGAACCAGTAGCAACCGCACTCGTCCTCGGCTACGATGACGACATCATCGCTCACAGTATGTTGCAGTGTCGCCAATCACACACTTAACGAAGGAGAGGCGGATCTGTAGAGAGGATGGGAAAGGAGAGAGTGAGAAAGAGATGTCGGACGAAGAAAAGCTGGATCTGCAGAATCACCGTTTGCACAAGTTGCCGTTCGCAGCAGGTGATGCGGTTGGAATCAGCTTCACCCCACGACGCTGTTGATGACTCTCAACAGTCCCCAATGTTAGCCGCGTCGATCTGCTCATTCTCCTTCGTCACCTGTTGTGGAGTTTGACAGGATCGCTGATGTCGAAGAGAGAAGGGAGAGACGGTGATAGTGAAATGTTTATTGCCGACGTCAAAGAGAGATGGAGGAGACGGTGATGGTGAAATGAATAGGGTCTGGAATTCAATTGGGTGGAGATATTATATTAAACCTGATTTGTGAATAATCAAACTTGATATCTAATTTTTGAATTGTACTCTTTAAGCACCTGGAATTATGTAATTTTCACTTTCTTTTTTTTTCCCCAAAAAAATCGCTTTTTATGAGTGCTGAACAAATGCAGGGAATAGTTTTCTGTGCTTGAAAGTTGACTAGAATTGGTCGAGCGTATTTATGGATAACCTAAAGCCAAATTTCAGCTCATCTGCTTCAACCACCTGGATCATGAAATACCCTAATCCCCTCAAGTTAATACGAAATTGTTTGCATATACAATAAATTCCGCAACTGCTTCCGCCTACCTATCAATATTTCTTACGATTCTAGGCACCAACCCCACACCCCCCCGCCCGGTCCCTCCACCCACCCAATCTCCATTCGGGAAGTTGTATATATCTTCATTTGCTTGCTCGTTTGCACAACCAACATGCAATAAATTAGCAAAAAAATCCAAGCCTTTTTGTTGTATTTGTCTTTGAGTACCGTTTCATTCTTCTAGAAATTAACTCCCATCAAAAGATCCGTCACCCATGGCGGAGTGTATATTGGAACAGCTCAAATCCCAGCCCACATGGCTTCTTCCGCTACTGGCACTCGGGTTTTTATTGCTATTCAAATGCTCATTCACCATCCTGAATTGGGTTTACGTGAATTTTCTCCGACCCGGGAAGAATCTCAAGAAATACGGATCTTGGGCTCTGGTCACCGGGCCTACTGACGGCATAGGCAAAGCCTTTGCTTTTCAGTTGGCCCGGAAAGGGCTGAACCTGGTTCTTGTGGGTCGGAACCCGGATAAGCTCCGGGAAGTTTCGGACTCAATCAAGTCCAAACACGGATCCACCCAGATCAAGACTGTGGTAGTTGATTTTTCGGGTGATTTGAATGATGGAGTAGGAAGAATTAAAGAGACAATTGAAGGACTGGATATTGGGATTTTAATTAACAATGCTGGGATTTCTTATCCTTATGCAAGGTTTTTCCATGAATTAGATGAAAAATTGTTAAATGATTTGATTAAGGTTAATGTTGAGGGCACTACGAAGGTTACTCAAGCTGTTTTACCTGGGATGCTGGAGAGGAAAAAGGGGGCTATCGTTAATATAGGGTCCGGTGCTGCCATGGTTATCCCTTCTGATCCCCTTTATGCTGTTTATGCTGCCACCAAAGCGTAAGTTTAATTTCTGTAATGCTTTTTTTATTTTTTCTTGTTTATTGTTTTTTTGGTGGATTTGTTTATGGTAGACTGGATTTTTAGGAGGATAGAGAAAATTAATAAACATGAAAATATCTGGCCTTTTCCCTTTTCGCAGGTTTGGGAAATTCTGAATACAGGTCTAGATTGTTTGTACACACACACTTTTTGGATGCTAAGATTCAAGGTTTTGGTTGGTAGGGTGGTAAACTATTGGAACCAATCACATACAATCTAATTCAGAAAAGTAGATATTTTCATCCATTTTTAAAACAAGTGTTTTCTAGGGAACTTAATGATATATTCACGCCTATATACATGGTCTTTTAGATTGAGTTATAGTAAAAGAAATTATCTTAACTGAGCAGCTTTCTGGATTTGTACTACGTATTGATTTTAGGTACTCCATCTTGTTACATAACAAGAGATTTAGCAAATTATTTGAGTAGGACAATTATGGCTGTGCTCATGGGATAATATAAATGGTCTGTATAGACTGTATTGTGCTGAACAACATTGAATAAGATTGGTTGGTTTACTTTCAGATATATTGATCAGTTCTCAAGATGCCTCTATGTGGAGTACAAGAAAAGTGGGATTGACGTGCAGTGTCAGGTATCGCACTGAACCCAGAATCGGTTGTTTTGTGTGTGTAAAGTGTAATCGTTTGCATGTTGGATGCTCGTGTTGTGGAATAGGGATGTCTTACTTGCATTAACTTCACTTTATATGGCCACTTTCTTTTCATGGATTAAAGCCTAACCTTACCTGAGACAAATAAGGAACAAACTTACAGAAAGAAAACCACACAGAGTAACTCAGACCTTTTTGGTGGTTAAAACAATTGAAGTCGAGTGAAAAAAAGAGTCTACTTTGGCTCCACACTAGTCAACAGTCTCTTGATTACTTTGTTTCATTTATCCTTTAAGAAAGTGAGTGTGAACCACTGTAAATCTACATAGTTACTTTGCGGGTTTCCTATTCCGATTTGTTTATTTATATCCTTTGGAGTTAGGGATTAAGGTTTAGTCTATAACATGTTTCCCAATAGACTTCATGTACAGCCTTTGCATGGAAAACCAAAATATGAATTTGGTTTGAACCCTGTAAATGGCTGAAAGAAACACTGCAACCTCGATGTAGTGTAATATTCTTGCTGCATCTTTTTGCTTTGTTCCTAAACTGCCCACTCTTCGAAACCAGAAAATTCTGAGTACTGGAAATCTTCTCTTATGTTCTTCAATTTCTCATTATTTTATGAATGTAGGTCCCCTTGTACGTGGCAACAAAAATGGCATCCATAAAACGTTCCTCCTTCTTCGTACCATCGACAGATGGCTATGCTCGGGCTGCCCTTCGTTGGATAGGCTACGAACCACGATGCACACCGTACTGGCCTCACTCTCTTCTCTGGGGTTTGCTATATTCGTTGCCAGAGTCTGTTGTCGATGCTTGGCGTCTGAAGTTCTGCCTTGGGATTAGGAAGAGGGGACAACTCAAGGACTCGAGGAAGAAGGAATAGATTTCCTGTCATAATCTCCCAGTATGTGTTACTTTTTCCAAGGGCCTGTTTTGTTCAGGACGATGTTTGAGATATGGGAAATTTGAGGATTAGAGTCGAAACTCGTTGAAAGTTTCATCTTTTAGTGCTTTAATGTATTCTGTCTTGTTATGAGATCGTACTTGAGTTCAGCAGTGTCAATATTCTTGTAACTTTAGTTCTGAACTTGCCTTTTTCTCCTAAATATGTTTCAAGCGTGCAAATTTTCCTTTCGTGTTACATCCTTGAGGCAATTTCGTGATACATAGTTGATTAATGCTTATTTAACTAACTCAATTATAGTAATATAGCAATAAAATAATATATTGTATTAAGAGATAGCCATGGAAAAGTAACATTTATGAATACCTGTATCACGATCAACAGGGGAGGGGCGTGAGATGCATTCCAGAAAGAGAGTAAGTGCTATTTTGACAAGGAAGAATATCCTTCAAAGATCAATCTTGTGACACTCAAATAGTAACCAACATTAATATCGAATATCACGATGCAATCTTCAATTATGAGAATAGGCAGAATCATAATCAAGATTATCCAATTCATTCTCCAGGCTTACAGTTTGAGAAATTTGAAAGTCTCCGTAAGAATAACCTGAAAGAACACTTTAGTATGAAAGAACCTCAACGACATTAGTTAACAAGAGCATCGTCAATACTATTCTCCTAGCGTCGTTCATGAATCTGAATATCGGCAATGTATAGCAATTTAACACATTTTACCTTAAAGAACTTTGCATAAAGAGAAGGACCTCCCTTGCTTTAAAAGCGCACACGAATGGCAGCATAGATAACTCACAGAATTTTAATATTCACCTATGTAGTCCTCTGTCTGTGCACTATAAATTTCCTGTCTGTCGAACGGCTTACTTCTTCTAGGAACATCAGCTATACTACAAAATTTTGATAAATTTTTCCCGATCTGCACTTTTCCCTTTTTATCCGGTGGTCGAGGACCGAGTGTGCTTACATCGATGGTTGCTCCGTATACCTCTGATGATTGGACAACTGTATCATAAGCCTTTGAAGAGAGAGCAAGGCCCTCATTCTGAGCCCTCAAATACAACTCATAAGCAAGTCTTGGTTTACCATCGTTGGCTAGCGCTTCAATCAACATTTCATAAGTAACCTCATTCGGTGTTATATTTCGAAGTTTCATGCGCTGAAACCATTCAAATGCTGCACTTCCAAAATCATTTCGTGTACATCCACTTATAATTGCATTGAATGTGACAACAGTTGGCTCGACCCCGACTGAAACCATTTCACGGATGATGGAATCAACAATGTTGAATTTTCCTTGTCCAGCATAAATTGAGGCCATAATAGTATATGCATACAAATTTGGCTCAACGCCGACTTTAAGCATATGTTTCCAAACCTGAAGGGCCTCCTCGTAAAGTTTTCCTTTTTCAAGAGCGCTAAGCAATGCCCCATAGGAGATTATCGTAGGTTTTTCACCTTGTTCGACCATTCTCTTAAATATTTGAACAGCAGCAGAAGTTTCTGATGCCTTGGAACAGGCAACAAGAACAGAATTCCATTCCCGACTGCCAGGTTTAAGGCCTTTCTCTTCCATTTTGTTGAGCAAGCTCAGACCCCATCTCCAAATTCCTCTTTTTCTAGCTGCACTCAGAAGTATATTAAAATGAGAGACAATCAGTTCATAGGACATGTTATTTGGTTTCGGCCCTTTGTCCAACAAGTCCTCATAAATTTCAAGAGCTGCCCACCATTTCTTCGCCTTTCCCATTAACCAAATGACATGATTGCATATAGATAAGCTTATTTCAGTGTCCCTTTCTCTTATCCTGGTATACAATTCCTTAGCCACAGCACAGTGTTCTTCACGGGTACATGCCCACACAAGGCGCTCGTGATCTGCACGTTCAGGATGAAGCCCGGCAAGATCCATCTCCGTTAGTAGCCGCAACAAGTCAGTGCTTAAATTCTCACTATTCACAAGCCAACGCCGCATGACCTGGAAGCAAATACGAATACAGAAATTCTCTAACTTTGAAAACTCATATTCCCAATTTTCATCATCTTTTCCAATTTTACCTTTTTGATACTTATCTTTTATGTCAACATATAACTTCAAAGCTCCAAATCCATCTCCCAGTCTCTGATAAGCAAATAAGGCTGTAGAATAAGATGCAGGGGATGGAGATACACTCTTTTGTGGCATGTCTTCAAAAAGATTAAGAGCCTCAACTTCCCGACCCTGCTCTATATAAATACACATTAAAGTGTTGTATGTCACAACATTAGGACGCACCCCTTCCACAGCCATATCATTTACTACTTGTTCAACAAAATCATAATTTTCAGTCTCCTTCACAACTCCCAAAAGGCTGTTATATATAAACACATTGAGCCGTATAGAAGTATTCATTTCTTTGCTCTTTCTCTTGAGCCACTGAACAAGAGCCACTGCAGAATCTAGCCTTTTGTCTTTGCCAAAACCTCTAAGTACAGATGAATAAACCTGAAGAGGCAGTTCACCCTTGTCCCTTAAAACCTCATCCACATCCTCTGCCGTTGTGGCTGAGTGTAAACTCCATGCTAGTGCCCGGACATCAACCCTTGTACTATTCTCTCTTTGTACCTTTTCTTCCAAATAAATTCGAGGTTGATCATCATCACCCTTGGCATCACATTTGTTGCCATGTACCGAATCCCTCCCCATTACTCTCTCCAATTGAACGCAATCAAAGTCCACCTTCTCACAATTCTCACTTCGTACCTTTTCTTTCCATTGAAGTTCCCCTTGTTCTCGATCATCATCACCATCACCATCACCATTACCATCACCGTCACCACTCTTGCTATCATATTCGTCGCCACATGTCGAGTTCCTCTCCTTTATGCTCTCCAATCGAATTTGACCAAAGTCCTTATTCTCAGAGAAATCATTCAATGATTCTATGTTTTCTTCCATGACAATGTTCCCAACAGCTCGTTCCTCCGACGCACATGTCAACGCAAAAGATTCACCAAAACAACCTTTCTTTGGCTTAGAGAACATATAAACTTCAGGTCTAGAGTATATACAAAAGAACTTACATCCCATACCCCATTTTTGGCTCCTAAAACTATTCCCATTCCTATAACTCAGAGAATCACAAAAATCAAATATTTTTCTTCTTTGCTTCCTTTTAATTGAATTATAACAAGAACCCAATTCAAAGTCCAATCGGGTTACCGCAAAAGAGGGCCAAGACTCGCTTCTTGAAGGCCAAATGCTCAAATATTGCATTGTGTCCACAGAAATTATTTCACACATCAACAATTAAATACAGAACTTAAATTCAACTAAATATTGAGGCGGTGTTTGAAATTTTCTCAAAATTTATACATCCTCAAAAGTTTAACAGTTTCAAGAACTCAAAATAGAAAGGAAAAAGAAACAAGAAGTTGTAGCAAGTAATCTTCACACTTAGTTCATAATAATAAATCAAGTATTAGGATAGGTGAATTCATTACCTCGGAATGAAAAGAAGAATTTGTGATATCATGGGTTTAAATAATGTTGGATACCTGTTGTTCTGGAATTGACGCTAACTTTACAAGGCCATTCATATTCTCTTGTGGTGTGTGAAGTGACTTGTATCAGTAAATTTGAGCCACGGAATTGCATCTCTTGCCAAAACGACGCCGTTCTAGACCACCCAAATTGGGCCTTTCTACCCGAGATATGGAAATAATTTTGTACCTTTTTTATTTGGGAAAAAATCATATGCAGGTACAGAATGTAAGGAACAAATAGATGTAACAAATGAATAATATAAGAAGAGGAAATTACTAAAATAGTCAATTTTTGACTTTGCATTTACAAAAATATCACTTTTTAAAAGTCTTTTCAAAATTGTCAATTTTGGACGTTTTCGCCCCTCTTAAAAATTCAGATACCATATACATCCTTGAGTTGACAACATAAAAAGTTGTACAAAAAGTAGAGAAAATGTGATAATCAGTCACCTCAAAATTGTACTTCAAAATTCTTAAAAAAAATAAAAAAAAAAAAAATATATATATATATATATATAATTTAATAACTTAAAACTCATTCATTTTTATCTCTCTAGTACGTTTCTTTGCAAAATTTCTCTTTTTTCTTTTCTTCTTTTCTATGTTTCCTCTCTTGATTCTTTGAAAACTATATGGAGTGCAAGTTCTTGCATTAGGATTCCATTTATTACGTCAATACAGAAGGAAGAAGAATATCGTATGTAAAGTTTCAAACATATGAGTTTTCTTAGATTGATTGAAGTTTTTGTTTCAAATTTTTTATTAATGTTCTTTTTTATTGTCTTTCTCTTAGATTGTACAATCAATTTTGAGTTTCCTACATCTAGACCGTGAGTTAGATTGTTCTCTATTTTGGGTTCGACTTTGTTTAGAGTGTACATTTACAGGTCATTTGGATTTCTCCATTTTTCTTTTGGGGATTTATATTTCTTTTGGCATTTTGATTTTTTCTCATTTATTTTGGGTATTATGTGTAAATTTTTTTATATTTTTCTAAAAAATATATATATATTTCACATTCTGTCAATTTTTTACTTCATATTCATCTGAATTTGTTTGATTTGTGAAAGCTGATTATTATATTATACTTGTCATTCCAGTCTACCTTATTTATTATATTTTTCTTGATTAGGCATGGGTATCAAATCTTCTAAGCGAACTGTTTAATTTGTCACAATGAAAGTTTGTACAGTTATGAATTCTCGACACAAGAACTTCTCGAAAGATCAGTTATGTAACCCATCTGTTGCGATAAAATGTAGTTTCCAACAATTCGTTTTAGTTATTCTTGACAGATGAGTTATCTTTTGATATAAATTGTCATTCTCGAAGTTAAAGGCAGTATTTCTCGAATATTATAGTTTGTTTTTTTGATTTCTTATAAGTATGTTTAGCATTAACATCTGAAAAATTCAAAATTTTAAATACACTCATCTCATTTCGTAATATGCGAACTAGAAATGTTGATTTCATGTCCATTAGTATTGTAATTATTGTTTTCAATTAGATGGATGATGCATCAACCCATGCTCGTGCTCCAACAATCATGAGCATCTATTGCCTAGTGAGAACTAAGAGGCGAACGGTATGTGTGTTAATTATGAGGAATTCAAAATTTAAATACTCATCTCATTTCGTAATTTGCAAACTAGAAATAACGAACTCATGTTGGTTATTGTTGCAAATGTTGTTTTCAAATAGATAGAGGACCTATAGAGCTCGAAGTGTCATGTCCGAACAACGAGAAAGTTCCCTAAACTTATAGCGTGACGGAGGGGGCCACCATACCCATCGAAAGTAACGATATTGTTAACACAAAGAGCAATGATCAACACATATTCAATTTCCTGCAGCATCTACTAGGACTCCATACAACAAGGAGAGGAGAAAAAGAATAAAGAAATAGTGTGACCAAATTTGTTAATGCTACATTAGAATTGATTTGTGTAATCAATGACCTCATTTTGCTTACCTCCAAGAATGTGGTTATAAACATGATTTAATGGTTGCATCCACATGTGATGACACATTTTATCATTTCTCGTTTCTCATACTCATTGGATTGGTCAATTAGCATGAGAAAATTTGTTAATTTATGTATTATAAATTTGTCAGGGATAAATATTGTAACGTCTTTACCAAATGTTATGAAACAACATACCTTCGTGCATCTTATTTGTAGTTACATTTTCTGCTTGCAACCAACTGTCGAGAATGACAGAAACCTCCTGTCGGGACCGATAGTTTAACTGTCAGGATGTTATGCAATGTTTACAAATGATAGTAAAATGCTAATAATAATGTAAGTCGAGAATGTATTCGAGAACAGCATGCCCCTTATACACTTTTTGTAGTCAAATTTTCTATTTCGCAATCATCTGTCGAGAATGATAGAATCCTTCCGTCGGATGGTATGCAATTTTTGTTTATATAATTATTTTGCTTGTAAACTTAAACACGACTAATATCTACAAACAATAATAAAATGATAATATAATTTTAGAATGTACAACGCTATCAAAGGAATATTCAAAATACAATTTCAACTACTTTTAGACATTAAGCCTATTTACATTAGTTGTGTTAGAATGGGGTTGGAACACGTGGTCCAGTTATGGTCAACTCTACCATAACGAGTGCATCGATAATACTTGTTGGAAGTAAAAAGAAAGTGGTTTTGTCCACTCTCCACTTCCATTCATCATCCACATAAACAAACTTTCATTTATGCGCACGATGAATCTCAAATGATTATTAAAACCTAAAAAGTTGATATTGTAACGGTAAGAACTCTGTACAATCAATGTGTCGACATTTAATAGCATAAAAGTGACACTTTTAAATATTTAAATCCATTCAATGACAAAATGTGAAATGAATGGTTGAATCCAAATATATAAATTATTTATCTCGACGTTTCTAAATGTCGAGTTCGACAGTTCAATTGTCGAAACTGTCGAGAAGTTTCAGACGTGTTTGGTACCTTGTTAAAAACATTAATGGTTATAATCAATTCACAACTACATCATCACAACTTCTTTCCAAAAATAAATGACTGAATGCTTCATTAAATATGGAATGTAATAATTAAAATTTGCCTAAATCTTTTTGGGATTTTTTTTATATCTTTTCCCTTCAAAAATATTTCAAAATCAAGAGCATCATGATTAATAAGAGTTTCAAAAGCATTTTTCACTTTGATGATGATGTTGCTTTTAATATTTAAAAAAGGGTAAGCTATTCGATAAAAATATAAACAATTCATAATAACTAGCTTCTCAAAATGGATGATGAATCAAAGAGTAATATCTTTTTGATCAAGGAACGAAGAAGATGGATGAAATGAGGGTTTGTTGAAGAAGATATCTGTTTGATGTTAAAATAGGGCTTTTTACTTTTTTTTATCATTTTTTTTTTAAGTAAATTCATATTATACAATAGGATATACATATATCCAATTATTATAATATATAAATTTAATATATCCATGATTATAATATATAAATTTAACTAATCAAATCATAATATTAATTGAATTGGAAAACTAGTATTAAATGCTCCTAAAAAGGGGACATGAAGGGTAAGTTGGGCATTTTCCACAAAAAGTAACATTTTTGATAATTAGGTGCACATGCAAATTTTTTGTGCATTTAAAAAAAAAAGTGACATTTTTTATAATTCCCCAGAAGAGAATTGGGTGCTATATCAATTTCAAACTCATTTCTCCCCTTTGGATCGAGAATATAGAAATTTTTCTTGAATCTATTAGTCCATTTTGTACCAAAATATTTATTCGTATACTAAAAATAATACGAGCATACTCTCTTAAAATACATAATGCAATTTATTTTAAAGAACACATGTCTAAAATTGAGCTATAAGAGATTCTAAATGAACAATGATAGCATTTAATAAGTAATAGATTTAAATATTCTACTTCTTAAACTATTCACACTATATTTAAATTGATTGGTTATTGACATATAAAAAGTTATACTCCCCATATCTCATTTATATAGGTTTGTTTTGTTTCTTCCCACGGATTAAGAAATCTTGTTTAATGTTATTGAAAAAGTAATTTTTGCCCATAAATTTTCTAGTTTACCTCTATTTAATTTTCAACAACTAGTAGTATATTATTGTTGAAATTAGTAAAGAATTTGAAAATCGATTTCAAGAAGTAGGCAAATTATTGGGAAATGTGCATGTATTTGGATGATTTCAAGAAAAGTAATTAGCACAAAACATTTTTACCTTTCAATGTTATTATGCAAAACGTTCACACCTTTCATTTTTGACATTTTTATCCTTACACTCACCATTTATTGCCGAAATCATCATTTTCATCAAATTTATTGTGTAAAATGATAAATATACCCTATATTTAAATAAAACATTAAAAAAGAAAAGAAAAGTTAAAGAATAAATTACAATCATACTCCCATACTTTATAAAAAAGTACAAATTAGTCCAATTAAATTATTAAAAGGGTAATTAGCACAAAATGTCCCTACCTTTTATTATTATTGTAAAAATGTTCATACCTTTTATTTTTTGATATTTTCACTCTTATTTCATATTTCATTGTGAAAATTGTTATTTTCACCATTTTCTCAATTAAAAGTTATAAAATAACAAATATACACTTATCTTTAAATAAAAAAATAAAAACAACGAAAAACAAAGAACAAATTGTAATTATACTTCCAAAATTTTCAAAAAAGTAAAAATAAATAATTAAAAAAGAAAATAAAAAAGAAAATGATCTTTGTTTTTTAATTATTTATTTGAAATTTATTTATACTTTTTTTTTGGAAAAAATTGAGAGTGTGGTTGTAATTTTTTCTTTATTTTTCTTTTATTTATTTTTGTGTATTTAAAGAGGAGCGAATATTTATCATTTTACAGCTTTTAATTGAGAAATGGATAAAAATAATAATTTTTGCAATGAAATATAAAAATAAGGGTGAAAATGTCAAAAAAGAAAGATATTGACGTTTTGTACAATAATAATGAAAGGCATGGACATTTTGTGCTAATTAACTTTTTAATAATTTAA